TATATATATATATAAAAACATAAACAGGCTAAACATCCCCAAGCAGTACAATGCCTCTTTCTGCAGCACAAATAACACTGGTACCTGCCACGGGGCTGGACAGCTTGAGATATCTCTCAACCAATTCCATGCACTTCTCATCCATGAACTCGTATGCAGACAGGATCTCTCCCAGCATGGCTCTGCAGGTTGTAAATGTTTCCAGAACCTTAGTGAAACTCTGACACCCTTCAGATAGAACACAGAGGGCAATCAGAAACAAAATACAGCCCCCCCAAATCCTGTAAAAAGTTTAAAAAAGTCTGTCAGGCTTCAAGTCATCTTTCCCATCTCTAGAAAATGTGAACAGCTACCCTGTGTGGGTTTAGATCAGCCATTCCTGTAATGACGTTAGCTGGGAAAGGTTTCAGAGCAGAACAGCAGGAGGATACAGCAATTAGTCTTTGCCGTGGCAAGGACCTCTTGAACACTCTAAGACAGTTCATACCAAAATGTCTGCCCCACCCTCAGTTCTCAGCAGAGGCAAGAAGGCAACCCAAGAGGAATTTAAAGGCACTGTGAGAGTCCAGGCAAGTTCTGGGGTCCACTGCACATATTCCATAGGTCTGTCAGCACCTGGAGTCTACTCAACCCCTCCTAGCTCTCTGCTCTCAAAGCCACACCTGATACAAGCAAGCCCTTTGACAAGTTCCTCTTGGCCTTGAAGGTTTCTGAGAAAAAAAACTGTCTCAGTGAAGTTGTACCTGGACAGGTCCCTTGCTGATCCAGACCCTGACCTGTAGACTTGACAGCCATGCCCTGTCACTATGGGCTTGCCTGGTGATGGCTAGATCGCGGCTGCCTCTGCCTGCTGTCATCAGACTTGCCCTGCTCACCTCGCTTGGGTACTGTCAGACAGGGCCCTCATCAGTGAGGGCATTGGCCTGCCTGCCTCTTCATCCTGCTAAGCTCCTGGTTCCCCTTCCCTTGCAGACCAACTGGCCCTTGCAGGTATTTTACACATTTACACCACAGATATAAAATATCTGCACAGGTATTTTAACATACAGCACCACACTGTTTCTCAGAAATAAGCTGACACTGAAGCTGATCAGTGCTTTATTCTCTCCATCCCTATTCCGTTCCAGCCTCCGAAGTCAGGTGTGAAATTATTAATATCAGCTCCTACCTAGAAATGCCAGATTCACAGCCTTGGGTTTCTGAGGACACAGTATGGAGACAGCAGTGATAACTCCCAAGGTCCCCTCAGACCCAATGAAAAGCTGCTTCAAATCATAGCCAGTGTTATCTTTGCGCAGAGATGCCAAGCAGTCCAGAGCCGAGCCATCAGCCAGCACCTGTGGGAATACAGAGACCCAGTCAAAGTACCAATGCAGAAACCTCTAGTCATAAGCTTGTCTACTGCTAAGATGATGAAAAGCTGCCTTGAGCAGTGGACGCTAGCTGCAGCCTGTTCCCACAGTCTCATCACTGTTCCTCCATTCCCAGCTCTTCCTCCATTCTGTATCCTACCTGAGACTTCCCCCAATCTTTTCTCCTTCTTTTTTTACAGTGCTGTTTGCACGTGTTCCAGCAGGACAAGTAATAACAGAAGACTGAGTTTGCTCTGCTTTTGTTACCAGTGGTGGAGAAGGCCAGCCATTCTTTGCAGCCCTAGCTGCCCTTATTCAACAGCAGCAAGGAAGACTATTTGAAACAGTGAACACAGTTGACCAGAATGAAGTAAGCCCTCCACCTCTTGAGCCTGAAATCAAGGCTGAATGTCTCTAAAAGATATTAAAGGCTGTTTTGACACTAGAGTGTCTAACCTGAGAGACAAAAGCTCCCCCTTCTGGGCCCACAAAATAGAACCAAACCAGGCTTTCGTTACCTACTCAATTTATTTCCTATTATCACTCTGCTCCCAAGCCCTGAAATCTTTTAGAACCACTAATCCCAGGCTTTAGACACAGAGGCACAGGCCTATAGGGCAAAAGCAGGCCGAGGAACAGGAAAGACTCCAGGAGAAAGCCAGTAGCCAAACAAACCCAAAGCGGACGGCTGTATTAGAAGTCACGTGAGCTGCCACTAGAAGAGAGTGCTGTACAAGCACTGGATTTAGCAGAGCATCACAGAGACCCACCACTCCACAGAGAAAACAACCTCATGCAGCTAACTTGGGATCACCAAATCTCTCCTTACCTTCTTGTCACTTCTCTGGATTAGAAAACCACCTAGCATCACTTCTGCCAGCAAGGACAGAGGTGGAAGCCGGAAACTGGTAGCAATAATAGATGCTACATGCATGAAGACACTTGTTGACCCTTCTCAAGAGAGCCATGCAAGGAACAGTTAAAGCGTGCGAGCCTGGAGAGGAACTTGTCTGCATAATGGCTAGCTAAGGGCTAGAACAGCAGGAAACAGGGTAAGAAGTAGAGGTTCAAACACAGAAGGGAACTGCCTTACCACTTCCAGGCCGAGCACTGTCCCGCGGAGAGAGCCATATCTCAAGAGCCGTAAGCCTCCAGCATTTGTGGCCACATTACCACCGATGTGACAGCTACCTTTCGCTCCCAAGTCAAGTGGCATGATAAACCCCTGCTCCTCCAAGTATTCATTGAGTTTCTCTAAGATGCAGCCAGCTTGGCACACAAGGATTCCTGAAACATAAACGTCCTGCTACAAGCTGATGTCCAAGAAGAAGGTTCCTCCTAAAGAGGCAGGATAAGTACAAGCAGATGCAACCACCTCTTCCTCCAAAACTTTCTGGGATTCAATTTAAACACACAAGCACACTGTGCCTGCTATAGTCCCATACCTCCTCAAGCCAAGGGGAGGTTTGCCATAGCCTTAACATCTGGTCATCCACAACTCTGGACTGGTAAAACATGACATTAAGCATATCTCTGCCTGTTCTCTCTCTCTCTCTCTCTCTGTTTTAAGAGCTAAAATACTCAAACCAGCCTGGTTCCTAAACTCTCCAAATGCAAAAAGCCTGTAACTTTTCCCCATCCCTCCTTTCCCTCTGCTAGGGCAGTTACGACATCCCTTCCTCAACACTTTCATTCTGCTCCACCTGCTGGGTTTCTCATCTAGATTTATAAAGAGGTAATAGGATGTCCAAGTTTCTCTTCTCTCTTTCTTCCTCTTTCTGCCACCAGATGTATTTTTACATCTGCTACTGTTATAACCTAAGGATTACATCAGCAGCATGAGCCTGGGTGAAACAAACCTCTGACTCCCCTTGTGATGCCACTGGGCTGAACTTGCTGATCCTGCAAGTTATCATCTCCCAGGGGGCTGGGTTAGGGGCAGGGGCTCATTTCTGTGCCTCATCATGTCTCTATGATATTTACCAGGCACCTTGTCAAAGCTGATGATCCGGTTCATGAGAACAGTGGAGAGAATGATCTCATCGAAGACAGGAACGCTGCCCCCAACGAGGCCTGTGTTACCCCCCTGTGGGTTCACTGCAAGGTTCCTCTCATAGCAGTATCTGGAAAGAAAAAGGTTTCTGAAGTCTTATGCATTTTAAGGCCATAACCCAGTCTGTCAGAAGAGTTTCACTTCCACATGAACATCTACTGTTGGAGAGCGCTCAACGCTCCTTAAAATTAAGCAGTGTTTAACCTAAAGATTAAATTGACCCCTCACTAAACTCACCCCAGCACTGAGCAAAGGAACGAACGCTTGGGGTTACCCCCGCACACATCTACAGATCTGCCACGCAACATCTGCCTGGATATCGCTGCTCGCTGTTTACAAACAAGCTATTTATGTAGCACTCTGCTAACAACTTGACTTCCTCAGCAGGCTCTGATACATGACTGCTGGCAGTGCTTTAAGACATGACTGCTCTCCTTCACCCCTCAAGAAATTAATGCCCTTTAGGCAACGAAGCATGTGCATCTATGCCTCAGCTGCTTCACCTTCCAGCCTGCCATATCCCTGCAGAGCAGCCCCCACCACATCCTCTCCAAACTCACTGAAGTTCTTGCACAACGGATGGCACAAGGCCAAACTGCACCAGCAGTTACTTCAGAAACCCCAACTTCACTGTGCTCCATATGTCTGTTTTAGCAGATCTAGGAGCAGGTTCATGCAGCTTTTAGCTCTTCAGCCAAACAGCAATCCTGCATATTGATGCCTGACTGGAGCCACACTCACACCAGTGAACCAGGGAAGTGTTCTTATTTAGTGGACAAAACATTAGCTCCTCAAACTGCCCGATTCCAGCCTAACCTTCTTTACCTTTTCAGACAGACCCTCCCGAATCCTTCAACACAAATGTTCCTCTTGAGCACAGTGTCAAATTTTGACAATTTAGTAAAGCAGAAAAGTCATCAATACTGAATCCGCTCACTAATCTTTCCCCACCATTTCTCTGCTCCACACTAAGCACTGTTAAAGACACTTCTACTCAAAGCCATCAACATTGACTTGAGAAGTCTACTGCTGCCCACTTTGCTTTTGCAAGGACATTTGGGCAGGAAAGATGGATTTTATTTTGTAAAACAAATGAAAGTTTGGCCTTTGTTTCTGCATGATACTAATACAACACCATCACCCCAGAAAAGCTGTGGGCCAGGGAGAGCACTGGGCCTGGGAAACACAAGGCACAGATTCAAGTTCCTTTCTGCCTTGAAAAATTTCAGCTCCCTATGTGAAAACATTCCAAATATGAACCTGTATTTTTTTTAGATGAGCAATACTGCCTATCCACCAGTACATGCATACCCCCAGACTAGCAACTAGCTCCCATCCCGGGAGCGGCTGGAACAAAAGGTACATCAGGAAACACAGGCAGCCCAAGGGCAGTTGGGATAAGAAGAACAGAAGGGAGAGCTGAAGTCACCAGAGCTCAACCACAAGACACAGTCAAGAAGGGAACAGCTTCAGCAATCCCAACACTTGAGCAATCAGTGCCTGAACATCTAGATGTTCCTTTCATCGGCCAGACCCTCAAAGAATAAACCTGAGTTTCCTCACCACAAAGTCCAGCAGAAAAGGTGCACGTTACCTGAGAACTTGAGACACCTCTGCTGTTGTCTGCGGCTTCAACATCAGCTTGCTACTGCCTGCAATGAAAGCAAGGGACTCTCAAGGCAAGCTGTGGGCTGCACAAAGGTCAGAAAGAAAAGGGTGGTAAAGTATGATGTTTGAAAGAACACCACACCCTCCACTGTGAGGCACAGGCATTGTAACCACTTTAAACAAACATTTTCAATAGGGGGCTTTCCCTTAATGCACTGTAAAAACTTTGCCTGTATCCATAGAGTTGGTGGTTGTCAGCGGGGGCAATGGGCAATGTTTTATATTTTCATGAAATCTTTGACAAAAGCAACATAGACAATTCGCAACACTTGTTTTCTGAGGTTCAGCCAAAATTGTTAACTGAACAAAGCTGTTTCAGGAAAAAAATAATTAGTAAGTTAACACGGCTTAGATTTTTTTTTTAAACGAAAGCTGGAAAGAATACCAGATATCAGGTAATTTTCAAAGGAGTATTTTCTATGAGGAAAACTCAGTTTGTCTGGTCTGTAAAGACATGGTCTGCTATAAAGAAAGATTCTCTTTGGCAGACTTTTCATTCTGGTATGCTAACAGAAGCAGAGGAGGTTTTACCAAAGTTTAAAAATAAACAGGCTCACTTACCTCGGACTGATTTAAGCCAGTCCACGTTAAATGGTTTCAATTCCTCAGGATTTGTGATTACTCTACCTGGCATTATGCACTCAAAGAAAGCCATGTCACTGTCAGACACCCGGGAGAAGGGCAGGCGCTGCACTCTGTAACGCTCACTCGTCAGCATGACCTCCTGGAGGCTGGAGGAGGCTGCATGGAGCACTCTTCTGCCCCGAGGCCTCACGGCCCAGGGCCTGGAAACCACGCTCGTGGGCACACCTGGCAGTTCCCTCTGCTGAAGCATCCCCGGGGCATAAGTCACGCTCTGCTGTGCCACGATCCTCCTGTGGCAGCTCGTCAGCCATCTTAGCCGAGCCCAGCGACTCCACGCAGAGCAGCGGGGGACCACAGAGGAAATCGCCATGACCACCCTGGAAAGCAGAGGCCTATCTCGTGTGCGAGCTCCCCTCCTCGCCGGCCGGGGGGGCTCCTCTGCCGGAGCAAGCGGCTTAGGCGCTTTTCCAGCTTGTGAGAAGCTGGGAACAGACCCCTCGGAGTGTGA